TGCTTTGTTTCAAGCGTTCATTCCCCAAATCCCATGGTTAATATTCTCAGCCACTCTTCCAGTCTGTGAAGCACTTCTGGGTTTCCAAACCCCTTTTACATTCGATACATTACCTAGCCCAGCCTCTGGCCACCCCTGGGCTGTGTTTGGCTATTATTAAAACATACTCTTTTGGTGTCCAAGAGTGTTGGTATTGGAGGGACTTCACATGGTACCTAGCCTGGCCTCTGTGAAGACTGTCACCTCAAAAGCAGTTGACTCCAACCTGTGCAAGTCAGGGACTCAGAAACATTGTACAGATTGTCTTCATATGTGTACATATGTATACATACACATATGGTCAGCATTGATGGCTCATGCCACTAGCTACTCAGGAGGCTGAGATTTGAGGATCGTGGTCCAAAGCCAGCTAGGGTAGGAACCCCAGCAGGAAAGTCTGTGAGACTCTAATTTCCAATTAACTACTAAAAAGCTGGAATAGCATTGCAGTATAAAGTGGTAGAGCACTAGCCTTGAGCACAAAAGCTCAGGGACAGTGCTGGGACCCTAGTTAAAGCCCCAGGACTAACACTACACACACACACACACACACACACACACACACACACACACACACATACACACACACACATCTGTGTATATGTATGTGTTCTTTTTATTTAAGTCATTATACAAAGGGACTTCAATTCAACATGTCAGTTTGTGAGTCCAATGCTTTTTTAAAAATTATAGTTTTATTATCTTTAAGTAGTTGTGGAAAGGGTTTATAAATACAATGCATCTTGATCAATGTCAACTTCCATCATTCTCCCTCATCCCTCCTGACCCCACCCATCCCATCAATTTTCCTAATTTCGAAGGATATGCATTGAATAGCATGACTGTATTTCTCCCCCCACTCCCCACCTGCATTGTCTTCTTGTTGTACATTTAACGGTCTGCTTGTAGCATGGCCCTGTGAGGCACATGCACAGACCTGATCTAATCTAATCTTGTTCAGATATATGAAGGAGGTTCTTAGGTCTCCCTGTGTCTCCCTGTTTCCTGAATCTTACTTGTACATTCCAGGTTCCTGCAAGTTTTTCTCATCTGAGATACTATAGAGTGCCATCACAATCCCGGTCAGCTCTCCTCCGCATGTGCTCCCATGTTCTTGTTTGGTCAGGGTAGAACAGGCTCAGACCTCCACATTCTGACCTTTGTATCTATTAACGCATCCTCAGACAGCATTGGTTTGTGTTGGCTGGTTCATTTGGGGGCTGATACATTATACTTTCAATATATCAAGCCAGCTATCAACTAAAACACTGCTGCCAAGCATCTCCCCCCTCTTCTGCACTTACATTATTGATTTTTTTGGCCAAAATGGTAGAAGTATTCGATTTTAACTTATTAGATGAAATTTTAATCTTATTAGGTTTAGGGTATTGCCAAAATCTGTAAAAAAAAATTTTTGGATCTAATTTTCATGTCATGTATAAGTTCATTGAGCATTTCCTCAGACATTATCTAAATCACTGATAAAACATTGAAGAAGATGATCTTGAGGGAAATATATGACCCTTTCCTGGAAACCTTCCCTCTAGCTGACATCTGCTCTTTAATTGTCATCTGTGGAATACTCTTTGCTAATTCAAGCAACTGTTCAGACCACATCTCCTTTTGTCTCCCTATGGGAGATGCTTCGCCCAGGTCAATTATACCGTATCTTTCTCCTCTGCCAGAATAAGAATCATGCCAAATCCACCAATTGAGCCAGGAATGGTGGTATGCACTTGTAATTCCAGCACTCAGAGGTAGGAGGATCTCAAGTTTGAGACCAATCTGGGATACATTGTCAGATCTTATCTTAGATAAAAACAAAACAAAACACCACCAATGGAGTTCATGATAGAAGTCATTCATTTTTGTGAGCCCGGTGTTTTGCACAGCGCCTGGTATGTAACTGGGACTCAAGGAGCATCTAGAGAAATGGACAGCTGCATTTCCGAGTCAATGGATGACTTAGTCCAACCGAGGTTAGCTTGAAGATGTTGAGGATTTCGTTTTGTCTGGATCCACCTTCTTTCTCTGTTTTGAAAACTGGCACACCACTGCAAGCTCCTCGCTTCTTTCTTAGAGCAGCTCTTCCCTACTCGTGAATCCTAAAAAGTTACCAATTCATTTGCTGATGAGAAAATAGCAAAGAAAGTTAAAGGATTGGAGCTGGGAAGGTGGCTTAGGGGTAGAGGGCTTGCCTTGCATGCATAAGGCTCTGGGTTTGATTCCTCAGCACCACATAAGCAGAAAAAGCCAGAAGTGGTACTGTGGCTCAAGTGGTAGGGTGCTACTAGACCTGAGCTGAAGAGCTGAGAGACAGTGCCCAGACCCAGAGTTCAGGCCCCATGACTGACAAAAAAAAAAAAAAGAAAGAAAGTTAAGGGATTTACCCAAGGTCAAACGGCTAATAGAGTGAGCCTGTAAGACTCAAGAATTGTCTACTGCTGAATTAGAGTGCCAAGATGCTCTGACAAGCACCTTACATGCTGAGCTTGGGAGTATTCCCCTAACTCAGCCAGGGGTGAAGAGGAAGTTTCTATAACCTATGATACAGCATAATAAAACATGCTACATACTCTGTGTGTGTGTGTGTGTGTGTGTGTGTGTGTGTGTGTGTGTGCGCGCGCGCGCACACGCGCGCGTGCGCGTGCTGGTCCGTGTGCGCGTGCGCGTGCTGGTCCAGAGGCTTGAACCCAGAGCCTGGGTGCTATCCCTGAACTTTTGTGCTTATGGCTAGTGCTCTACCACTTCAGCTACAGCTCCACTTCCAGCTTTTTGCTGAATACTTGGAGATGAAAGTCTCACAGATTTTCCTGTGCAGGCTGGCTTTGAACCACAATCCTCAGATCTCAGCCTGCTGAGTACTAGGAATACAGGCACAAGCCATTGGCACCCAGACGAAACATACTTCTTTTATAGTCTCATCCACTCATTGACACTCGTTAACTCATTGACTCAACAAACATTTATTGAATACTTCTAGTATTAGTCTTTGGGCCTAGGAATACAGTTATTATAGGCCTTCCTCAACTTTAAGTTTTAGGCAACAGTAAGGAAATATGAAATAAGCTAATAGATAGGCATATAGCATATGGTCATATATCGGACTAAGCAGGAAATGAAGTGAGAAGCAGAGAAGATGAGCTGCATCTGAGCAGAGATACAAGTGAAGCAAGACAAAATATGCAGATGTCCTGGGGATGTGCAAGTCTTCACAGAAATACAACACTTCTTCTGGGAAGGAGGAGCCCAGTCCTATGATGAGCTTTCCAGCTATAAAATTTGTGATTCCTTCCTTCACACCTGATTCATTTATTCATTCACTTATTTTTTTCACCAAATAATTGATTAAGCGTCTATTGTTTTATTAAGTATAATCAGGGAAGTTAACAAATCTTTGCAGCGAGGGACAGATAGGTGTGTTTGGGAGGACAACACAGCATGTCAAGAGCTATCATGGTGCTAGGGACAGGTTGATAGAGACATGTCATAGAGACATGCCCTCCTGGGGATCTATCTGACTGAAGTCAATATAGTATAAAAGCATGAAATTCTTGTCATGATGGTTTTCACCTTGCAATACTGGGGTTTGAACTCAGGGCCTGCCTTATACTTTCTAGGCTAGTGCAGTACCACTGAACCACACCTCCAGCCCTCACACTGATTATTAGATAGGGTTTTATTTAGATAGGGCCGTGATCCGCCTATTTTACACTTCTCATCAAAGGTGAGCTGGTAGGCATATGCCACTAAGCCATTCCTTCCATTGAGATGGAATCTCCTCGACTTTTCTTCATTGTCTGGCCTCCCCCAGAGCTAGGATGTCAGACCCGAACCACTGTACCAGCTATTTGTTGAGAAGAGGTTTTGTATGTTTGCTTAGGCTGACCTCAAACCATAATCCTCCCAATCTCAGCCTTCCTAGTGTAGGTAGGATTACGGTCATTAGCCATTAGAACCCAGTTTCAATTTCTTTAAACTACTGAGCCATATCTTTAAATAAAACCTTAGACAGAAAATCCAATATATAACATTGAAAGGAGTTGCTCTGGTTGGCACCGAATTAGAGGCCTCGGGATACCTTCCAAAACCTAGAGCCTATTATGAAAACCATTTCTCTAAATATGTGTATGGCCAAGAACAGAAGCCTGTCAATTAAAACCTTATCTTCAAGTGGCCAGGTAAACCAAATTTGGAGAGCCATTCACTCATCAATCAAAACCACTCGAAGCATTACCTCTTGGCTTGTGTTAAAGTGAGTAAGTAAACTGTTGTTCAGCTGAGAACTGATTCAATCACTTTTTCAACTGCTCTTCAAACTCATCAAACTTATTACTGTCTAAGAGACTCATAAGCATAATTTAAAAGGTTCACTGTATTGGTTTTTTTATATATATATATTTCTGGGCAAAACTCACAGCATTTGCTTTAAGAATCACTAGTAAGGTTGCTAGTGGCTCATGCCTGTAATTCTAACTACTCAAGAGGCTAGGAGCTGAGTATCATGGTTTGAAGCTAGCCAGAACAGAAAAGTCCAGGAGACTCTTATCTCCAAGTAACCAGCCAAGAGCCAGAAGTAGCTATGTGGCTCAAGTGGTAGAGTGCTAGCCTTAAGTGAAAAAGCCAAGCAATAGCACAAGGCCCTGAGTTCAAGTCATATTACTGGCACACATACACTTTCTCACACACACACAAATAAGAAGAATCACCTCTTTCAAAGTATGCTGGGCATTTCTTGGTGTAGGATAGGTTCTAAATTGTTTTCTAGAACATTCTCATTTGAAGAAAGGTTGACTTTTCTTCCCAATGTAGCATTCATATCAATAGATGTTCCTTCTGCCCTCATGATTCTCTTGCCCACATTCTCTTTTCCAGACCCAGCACAGGCCACGGAAGACCTCACACTCCAGCTTGGGAGCCTGCCCAGCTAATCTGCCACCTCCCCTTTCTTCCCTCTGTAGATGACGGCAACTGCCCAGCCACCCTCCAAGGCCCAGGCTGTCCACATCTCCGCATCCTCAGCTACCGCCAGCACACCTGTGCCCAGTGCCCCCATTGACCCCCAGGCCCAGCTGGAGGCTGACAAGCGAGCTGTGTACAGGTAGGAGACTCTCCAGCCATGCCAGGAAGCCCCCAGCCTCAGGTGGAGTTCAGCTGTAGTGATAAGAGCATTGTCCAGACCAGAGCTGGGAGGGGGGGGGGGGTGCGAGGGAGTGGAGTTGGTTGTCAGCAGCAATGGCCAGAAACTTCTCTCCTCAGTCCCTCTCTCTCAAGGCAATCCAGACCCCCCCCTCAATAAAACTGTCCAATGTGAGTTGACTCTAACTCTTCTGAAATATCTAATGAGAGATATGAGGGTCTGGGCAGTGTCTTCCAGAGGAACCCCTTCTCACCTCAGCTGGAGAGGTGAGTCCTAATGAGCATCAGAAATGCTCAGCTCAGCCAACAGGCAGCTCACCCTGCCCCATGTCATCTTCACTCCAACAAGCCCATCAGAGCACTGGACCATCAGATGACTGCCCCATTTTTGACTTGGTATCACACACACTTTGTATTCATGCAAATCGCAGAGGGGGCTTAAAACTCCAGAGATGCTAAATCAGTAGGTCCAGCTATAAGGCAAAGGGACATGCTGTTACTATTTTAAGCAGTCTCGGTGAATCTAATACAGCTAGTCCTTGGATCATACTCTGACTCGTGGTGGCTTTTGTGTTATAGCAGTGGGTATTGTGTGTGGTCCTATAGGTACTGGCATGCTCCTCCCCTTCTCCCCTGACAAAAATGGAGAGGAGAGCAAGCAACTAATTGTTCATCTTGTTCTGTGTCTGTTCCATGTGCCTGAGCCTGGTCCTAATGTCACAGAGGGGAAGGGAAGGCTCAGGGAAATGTGTAGCTGTCTTGAGATAGGCTGGTTCTTGTGTTTGTGGTTTGGGGAAGCGGATGTGGTCATCTGAGATCAGGCTTGGCTGAGGTTCCAGAAGGGATCTTTGTCATCATTTATTCCTGGGGACCCACATTCCTAGGAGTAAGTACCTTAAGTGTGACTGCACTGTTGAGGCTGAACATTCACCATGTGAGTTTCTAGCTTAGCCTGGCTGGAAATGCGTGGCAGCTCATGGCACAAACCTGTGAAGTGAATGTTGCACCTAAGACAAATGAACAGGAAGACAAATGTAGAGGAAGATGGATCCTTTTTTTCACTTCACCCCCATCTCCAATGACAATGTCTTTTAAGGTCAGGGTGGTCATTAGTACTGGTATTATCACTAGCATGGGCATTAGTTTTAGTTACTTGGATGAGCTGAGTACCTCTAATGCCAATAGCTAGGAGTCCAGAACAATGACCTGATCCATGGATCCTGGAACCAGGATCTTCTTAGGCCTTAGGGAAGTACAAAACATTCCCTGGCCCCCATGCCATGCAATGCACAGTCTAGGCCCAGCTGCATGTGATGCGGAGCTCTGCCTTGGACCTTAAGACTCTGGTCACAGCAATGGTCAGGGATACATCTCCCAGTGCAGGACATGTCTGCCTGTCCTCTCTCTCCCCTCCCGCCTTCGTACTTTTCTATTAAGCCCTTGCTATTACTATTGCAGGCCTTATGTAGAGCCAGGGGAAAGAGTTTGTCTCTGCAGGAACCAACAGACATGCAAATAAGAAACCAGTTCTGTGTGATCAAGACAACAGGGCAGGCTTCAGGAGTAGGTAGTGTTTGAGTCTGCTCTTTGAGGTTATGAGACTCCACAAGGTGGAGAAATGAACTGAGACAGACCCTCCAGCCAGCATGGAACCTGGTGTGTAGCCAGAGTAGCTAGTTGTGGAGAGATGGAGCTACAGAGCCACCTGTAAATGTGACTGGGAACTGTGTGGTAGTCTTGTGCTTTTCCACAGAGCCTAAGACAGGAGTACAGTGACATGGTGATTTGAAGGTGCATTGTTGTACTCTCAATTGTCACTGCTCGAAGTACAGTCCATGGACTACAAGGTCCCAGGTAATTCATGTGTATTCTGGGGACTGCTGAGGGTAAAGGTCAGCAGTGAGCGTAGGATCATGGTCAAGAGAGACCCTCTAATTAGTAGTATAATGAAGTTTCTGGAAATCTAAGCTTAAGTGTTATCTCTGCTGAGTGCTAGTCTCTGATGGCAGAACCAAAGGATTTGGTAACAATTCAGGTGTAAGCACCAGGCACTGCATCTGGCACAAAGCAGATGGTCCTTCCAGTGAGTTCCATGGGCTTCAAGGTCTTTTCTGAGATCCCAGGCTCATAGTCACTCAAACTAAGCTGCAGAAGAAGTGGATCACTGTCCCTTGAGAGCTGTCTACCATCATGTCACTTGAAATATGGCCCAGACTCTCTTTCAGCCAACGCTTCTTCCTGTCCACACCCCACTCCTCAGTTTTACCTTCTCCTATGGCACTGACCACCTCAATAGTATTTAGTGTTTGTCCAGAGTTGGCCTGCAGGCATCTGACCCTGTAGAAGGACATAGAAGGCTGGGCTGGAACTGACAGGTACACCATTGCTCAGCTTCCTATCCCTCCAGATCTGCTACCTCCCAACCCCTGTGACTCAGGGGTTATCTCCCACAGCCACGCCTCTTCCATTAACACCAGTCACCCCTCTCTGTAGCCTTTGCCTGGATGACTGGCCTCCTGTAGGGTCCGGTAATTTTAATTACATATGCCAGCCTAGGGCACTTCAGAGAGTCTGAGATCCATGTCAATAAATGTAACAAGACCTTTTCCATTCAGATTAGGGCCTCAGCCCTGACTTTTTTGGAAGCCCCCACCAGGCCCCCTCCTAGAACCACAAATGAAGGAAATGGGGGAGGCCCCTCTCTACCCCTTCTAGAAGGGGTAGAGAGGGGCGGTGTAACAAAGGAGAGAGAGAGCCTGCCAGCATCCCAGAGGCTTTATTTGTGTATGTGGATGTGTTAATGAAATGTATTGGTGCCCTTCTGATGTGGAGGCTGGGGGTGGGGAGAGCGGAGCCTGTCTTTAATTGGATCATACCAGAGCATCATCTGGGCTAATCAGCAAGGCAACAAGGAGCTCCTGCTCAGATTAATGATTGCAGTCTAATCTGAGCAGATCCCATGATTGGATGCACATCCTGGGTAATTGTGTTTGCGGCCCAGGAGCAATGATGAGAGGGGCCTGAGGAGGGGAGGCCCATGGAGCAGGGAGGGTGGGGAGGAGTCAGAGTGGGGTTAGGGTTAGACAGTGCTCAGTTCTCTCCTGCCTCATACCCACCTTTGGCCATCACATTACCCACCCACCCTCAAAGAAGTTCAAATTTAACTTGGACCACAACACCCCCACCTGGGCAGGCTGCTGGATGAAGGGCAGGTGCCAGGTGCTGCTTGAGAACCAGGGATTAGGTTGCTATACAGAGATGGACCAAGAGGGTGAGGTTAATCCAGTTTTTGCTCCCCCTCCTCCCCTCCAGTCGCCTTCCTTGTTCCCCCTTTGAAGTGAGTGGGTTTCCATGGAAACCATGATGTCCTGGGGAGCAGAAGAGTGGCCGGGAGCAAGGCTGCCCAGGTGCAGGTGGGGGAGGAGGGCGCGTTTCTCAAAGCCTGTTCTGCTGAGGTATTGACTGTCTCCCCTAGGGCAGGGCCCGGAAAGTGGCTCACCCCAAGCCACAAGGAAGAACTTACCTATTATTGATAAGGAAATGCGGGCTGGAGGCGTACACACACTGAAGAAACAGCCAGGGCTGTTGTGCTTTGTTTTTCCATTAAAAATGCTGGAAAATCAAGATGAAGGATCAGATGGAAGGGGGCATGTAGAGCCTGTATTTCTCCTTGGTGGCACTGCTCATGACAGAATTAATTGGGCTGACATGATTGCGGTTTCTCCCGCTAGATTGTTAACTCTATGAGGACAAGGGTATATGTCTGTCTGTCTATCTGTCTCTCTCATTGCCTTGTTCCCAGCATCTTAACACCATTTCCTAGAGTCAGCAGCTTAGGTGAAGTAGGTGTTGAAAGCCTTGTTGAGTGGGTTTATTAAGTACGCTAGGTAGTACCCTGTAAATACACTGAAGTTTTAGGCTGATGTGCAGGCAAAAGCTCCAGGAGCTTTGATGTTCTGATTTGTAGTTTTTGCTGATTTCTGAGATGTAAATCCTCCTATGATTGGCCATTCCAAACTGCTAACATGTGCTTTGGAGCAGAGTTAGAATCTATCTATCTATCTATCTACGGTCAGTTGTTATCAGCTATAAAGATAGCCAAATTGTTCTCTCTCTCTCCCTCCCTCCCACCCTCCCTCTTTCTCTCTGTGCTAGTCGGTCCTGGGGCTTAAACTCAGGGCTTGGGCATTGTCCTTGAGCTTTATTTTTTCAGGTCCTGGCTTGAACTCAGGGCCTGGATGCTGTCCCTGGGCTTTTCTTTTGCTCAAGACTAGCATTCTCCCACTTGAGCCACACAGCTCCACTTCTGGCTATTTTGGTGGTCAATTGGAGATAAGAGTCTCATGAGCTTTCCTGCCCAGGCTGGCTTGAAACAAAGATCTTAGATCTCAGCCTCTTGGGTAGCTAGGATTATTGGCTTGAACCACCAGTTCCCAGTTACAGTCTCCATTTTTAACCAGCTAAGCCCTCCCATATGGTGAGTCTTTAGAACTGTGATCCTACATTCCTGGCTCTCAGCATCTTCTCTGGTGTAAACCTGGGTTCTTAATTTGAAATGTTCTCCCTTAATGACTTAATATTTATAACAGTGATGGGGATAGAGCAAATGCTTTGTAAGTGTCTGAAGTGAAAGTGGTCCACCGGAACCCCAAGACAGTGAACGTTGAAAAGATCCCCCATATCCATCCCAGGGGACCATGCAGAGGCAGGCAGGCACAGGAGAAAGATTATTACAAGGTTTATTAGAGGAGCCATATTTCCCCTGGAGAAGGAGCACATGGCACCCTCCACTATCTTGGGGCAGGAAGTGAGGTAAATGGGAACTCAGGTGGGTCTGGGCAGAGAGAGGGACGGGCCAGCTGTGAGGAGGGAACTCTAGGGCTGGGAGGAGCTGAGGAACAAAAGGTGAGCATAATGCTTACAAATGATATCCTTCAGATTCTGTCCACTGCATCTCTTAAC